TCTTGCTCTGATGTACATATCATACACAGGCTTACTTAAAGTCTCACTTGATTTAACGCACCTTTAATAGTTAAATTCTGGACTTTCTACATTTGTAATACTGGTTAAGTGCAGACAAGCATAAACCACTCTCCTTCTGTACTTTCACAAAACTGACTCACATCTGTGCTCTGACCTAAACTTAAAGAAAAAGGAGAAATGAGAAGTCAATATGAAAATAAGCAACAAGGAAACTTTCTCCAAAATAAAGAACACTGGAGTTTATGATGTTATCAAATACATATATGCCCTACTATGCCCCTAAAAACTAATTTTTTGTTTTTGGGTTTTTGAGACAGGGTCTTTCCATGCAGTTTAAGCTGGCCTTACATTCATTTTGTGCCCCAAGTGGGGCTCAAACTTGCAATGATCCTCCTACCTCAGCCTCCTGAGTGGGGGGATTACAGGCATGTGCCATACCTGGTGCTTTTTTTTTTTTTTTGTCTCTAAAAACTAATTTTTAGAAAATACAGTTTTCAAAGGTTTTTTTTTTGTTTGTTTGTTTGGTTTTGTTTTTGAGATAAGGTTTCCCTATGCCATTAAGGCTGGCCTCAAACTCACAGCAATATTCCTGCCTCAGCCTCCTGAGTTCTAAGATTACAAACATGCACCACCACTTCTGGTTAATTTTCTTTTTAAGACAAGGTCTCACTATGCAGTTCAGGCTGGCCTTGAGCTCAATTTTGTAGTTCAGGCTGGTCTCAAACTTGCAACGATGCAACTGATCTACCTGCATCAGCCTCCCAAGTGCTGGGATTGCAGGTGTGTCACCAAGCCCGGCACTCGAGTTGATTATGTTAAAGCACACACAATTTGCATTAAAATTTTCAAATACCCCACCACCACAAAAGCCAAACAAAAAAGTGAAAAGTATCCTCCTTTTCCCAGCACCTCTACCAGAAACTTTCACATAGCCAGACACAGTTGTACTTGCCTGTAATGTCTGTTACTCAGCAGACAGAGGCAGGACTACAAATTCAAAGCCAGCCTGGACAACTTAGTAAGACCTTGTCTCAAAATGAAAACTATAAAGGGCAGGAGTGGAGTGTGACAGCACGTTTGTAATCCCACACCCTGGGAGGATGAAGTAGAAGGAGCTCAAATTTGATGCCAGCCTGGGCAAGTTAGCCACCTCGTGAGATCACCTCCAAATAAGAAATGATAAAGGGCCAGAGATGAAGCTCAGCACTGAAGTCCTGGGTTCTATTACCAGCACTGCCACCCAACCATAAAACACAAGGGAATGGGAATGTAATTCAGTGATAAGGGGCCCCTAAGGCTCAATCTACAGTACTCCCAAAAAAAGAAAATAAAAGAGGGGGTGATGACGATGTAGTACGGCATTTCCTGGCTCAATCCCCTGTAGGGAAGGGAGAGAAAAAGAAAAAGAAACTGGAGGAGAAAGAATATAAAACTAAATTTTCTAGGTACACTGCAGTGTATGTACATTGTACATACTGGTTGAACTAGGATTAAAATCAGTCCATTTGGTTTTTGAGGTTTTTGTTGAGTCTGGGTTTCACTATGTAGTCCAGACTGGTCTCCTGCCTTAGCCTCCCAAATGCTAAAATTAAAGGCACACCCAGTTTCTTCATTTTATATTATTAAAATGTCTTCAAACTGAGCATGATAGCATATGACAGCAATCTGGGAGGCTGAGGCAGAAAGACAGCAAATTCGAGCCCAGCTGAGGTAATCCAACAACTCATCAAGACCCTAAAGAAACGAGTGTCAATCATAGATATTCAGGACATATGCACAGAAAAAGTTTCCAAGCCCTGCAACTGGGACCAAGCAGAAAGTGCTACCTTCACCTCGTCTGGTGGGAAGTCAAGCAGGTTTCTGTAAGGTAGCCTAGATCTGATGTCAACCTGAAGAATGGTGGTACAAAAGACACCACTATTAACTTCGTGACCCCTGTGTGCTTCCTCTAGGGCTTGTTCTCACTCTGTAGAGAATACCCTTTCCCTTAATAAATGTAAAACCTGGGAAAATCTCTGAAAAGAGCCTGCAACATTCCAGAACCAGGTAACACAATCTCAAAATAACAAACAAACAAATAAACAAAAAGGCTGGGATGTAGCTCAATACAAAGGTCGTGGGTCCAATTCCTAATACCAAAAAAAAGTGTTATTACATGGCTTATTTTACAATTAATCTACCTGCTATACCATAATTATTTTTTATACTGTAATTCCTTAGATCATGAAGACTACCTAAAATCATGATTCATCACATTGTCATAATGAAAAACTAGAAATTATATACATGCCTAACACAAACTGAAAACTTCAGGTAAATTAGTTTATTAAAAATATTACTAGGCATGGTGGTACATGCCTGTAGTCCCAGCACTTGAGGCTAAGGATGGGCCACCACGAGTTCAAGGCTAGCCTGGGCTCATAGTGTGACCTTGTTTCAAAAAAGACAAAACAAAAACAAAAAGACAAAAAAACCAAACAAACAAAAACCCAAAACATATATTCAGGTGGGCTAGAAATGTTGTTCACTGGTATAGTACTTGTCCAGAGACACAAGACCCCAGGTTTGAGCGTTAGCACATACACACAAAAAATTTGTATTTGGTATAAATTAGATACAATGCCCACATTCATACCCTGCGTACTGTGTACAGTTCTGACAGCAGCTGTGAAGCAGTACATGGAGATAAAAACAATATATTTGGGTTCAAATTAAGTTTGTGTCACTTACTGTTTCGTCAGTAGCTTTTTTACTGACAAAAAAAAAATCAGTACTGGGAATTGGACAAAGCGTCCTTTTACCACACTGTATACCCAGCCCTTTTATTTCAAATCTTTCAAGACAGTCTTGCTAAGTTATTAAGTTGCCCAGGCCTTGCACTCACAACCCTTGTGCCTCCACCTCCCCGTGCTGGACTGTTAAACCTTGCTTCTTCACTTGTACAGTGAAAGTAGGAATACCTGCACCAAGGCCATTCTGCAGTCAATCTAAGAATAACTCTCAGTATAGCACCTGACACGGTGGTTAAAAAAAACAAAACAACAAAATGTAGCTACCATTACCTCTATAAAGCAAGAAGTAATCTCCCAGGAAAAAAAGCCATTAAAGTCCTGAGACACTCTCAAACCATTAGTGTGCATTAAAATCACCTGAGGGGTGTGTGGCACATGTAGAGTCAGGGGACCAACTTCTCCAGGGCTTAATTCCATAAGTCTGAGGTAAAAAGGAGATACTTTAGCCCAAATATCCAGGAAGGACAAGGGATGGAGCCCAGCGGTAGAGCACTCACCGGCCTACCATGCCTAAGGCCCTGATTTTGATCCCCAGCACCATAAAGAAACAAAAGAATTATTAAAGAGAATTAAAGTTAGGTGTAGTGGCACACACCTGTAATTCTAGCACTTTGGAGGCCGACAGCATTGTTTTGAGTTAGAGGTTAGTCTCAACTACATAGTGAATCTCAAAAGAGAGAGAGAAAGAGAGACAGAGACAGACAGACAGAATTAAAGCACTATTTTATAAAAGCCCCAAAGCTGGGCATGGTGACACAAGTCTATAATCCCAGCTCTTGGGAGGCTGAGGCAGGAGGACTGTTGCAAGTTTGAGACCAGCCTGAGCTGTAAGTGAACTCAAGGCCAAACTGAATTGCAGAGTGAGACTCTGTCTCAAACAGACCAAAAAAAAAAAAAAAGATTGAAAATTAGGATTCTTATCTTGCAGAATGGTTTCAAGTTGGAATGTGAACATTCAGCCAACTCCCTAAATATCCTCTCTGCTGTCAAATGACAAACATCCCCATTCTCGAAGAAGTGATCTCCAGTGGAGACAAAATGTAAAGAATATGTAAAGGAGACTGCAGACACAGGGTAATCTTTTTGAAAAGCCAACACCTGCACTGTGACCTGCATGACATGATGGAAACAACCAAAGCCATCGCAGAACCCTGAAATCACAGGACACAGCAAGCGCAGAGGCTCTTAAGTAAGAGCTAGCTCAGCAGGTTCCAAGGAAAACAGTGCCAGCAGAGTTCAAACACAGAAGCCACCGATGTGGCCAAGCTCCTAAGTAATGAACTAGGCAGAGGGATATGAGGCAAGTAAGAGAGAAAAGCAAGACCCAATGTGTAGCTTTCCTTAGGAGTTTTCCATTCTTAATGAAGATGGTACAAATTTACATTTTTAATCATCTCTTGGGCTATGGTAAGAATGCACCCTAAAAACCAAAGTGGCGCAAGAAGACCAGCCATTTGCTGGGGTAGATCAGGAGAAATGGTGGCAATGGGGACAGGAAGAAGTAATATATACTGAACATTTTGGGTAAAATCAAAGAAAAAGAACCTAGTTACATAATGAATATTAAAAATGAGATCTGGGGGCTAGAGATTTAGCTCAGCGGCATAAGCACCTGCCTTGCAAGCAGGCGGTTGTGAGTTCGATCCCCGGTACCGATAAAAAGTTAAAAAAAAAAAAAAAATGAGACCTGCAAGCTTTAGGTAAACTTATGAAAACTCGACCTAAAATGGGTTGTTGGCAAGTTTAGGATACTATATAGTACTTATTCTCTGAAACTGAAGTGAAAAGAACATTTCCTTCCATAGTAAGCTCTTTTGCTACCAGTGGTGAAAAACAGGAATACCTGCACATATAACTAAGACTCAGTGTTAATAAAGACCCAGAGTTAACAGAGCACATCAGCTGTGATGTGTGAAGTAAAAGGCTGCAGGACCTTACTGGTGGAGTTCTGAATTTCATAGTATAACTAAGCTAAACCTGAATAAAACCACTAAATAAGCAATAACTTTAAACTTCCATAAAGTCAACTTGGGCTGTACCTGTTCCCCCTCAAATTAACAAGCTAACAATGTCACCTCAGAAACCTGGAGAAGAATTTTCAAACCCTTGATTTTAGTAATTATGGTTTTCCAACAGTGAATAGTTCCTAAAGGTAAAAGTTCAGGCCCGTGAGTGGTGGCTCATTACCTGTAATCCTGGCACTTGGCAGAGGCAAGAGGATCGCTGTGCAAGGGCAGCCTGTATACAATAGACACACTCTGTCTCTTTCTCTCGCTCAAAAAAAGGCATCTCAATAACAATATTTAGTCCCGAGTTATTAGCATACAAGTTAAAATCTGAAGAGGAACTTGAAAATAATTTCCTAAGAAAAAAAACCAAAAGATGAAAAACATTAAGACTCCACACCCCCCAAAATATGAAAATTTCCTTCGTCTAGATATCAAACCCTGATAGAAGAAAAATTAAATTTAAGTGGCACAGAAAGATCTAAGAGATCCACATCCTACCACAAAAAGGGGATACCCTCCAAGGAAATACAGTAGTGTAAGGTTTTATTTTGTTTTGTTTTTGGTACCGACAAGCCAACTCAGGACCTTGTGCTTGCCAGGCAGCCATTGTAGCACTGAGCTATATCCCTGGCCCTTCAACCGATTTCTGAGGGGTAAATCTGATTTCTGAGGGGTAAATGTTAAGAGAAGGAGCCGTGGAGCGAAGCGGACTGGCCGCAGTTTACACTAAAGGCACCCGCGCGAGCCACCGCCTGGAGCGGAGGGGACCCGAGCTCCGCTGGGCCAGCGCTCACCCTGGGCAGCACGAACGCCGCCCAGGGTCTCACGACTAAAAAGCCTGGAAGCGGCCCTGCGTTTCCAAATTAGAGCATGGATAGCTGTCAAGAGAATCGGTCAACGGGATCGCTCCACTGAAGGTCTCTCCTGAGAAGGGAACAGTGCGTGGAGCTCACCCGATTCTCCCGATGCCAACACTATGACATCGGGATAGTGTTCATTAAGGCCACAAGCTCGATTTTGCCAACGGGGACAACCGAAAACATCTTATGGATTCTCCACAACTGACAGATACGACCTTGGCTAAAACCCTAATATCCTTATAGAGCTAATTTGGAAAACTTTAGCTTTCAGTAACAAGACGAGATTTCCAGTCCTCCAATAACGGGCGCTGTTACCTACTGACCATCAGTCCCGGTTCCACTCACTGAACAGGAAAAAGAGAACCAACCCAAGCGGGCTGAAAAGCTCTAGCTTTCAGGATGGCAGCTTTCCTGTATCATCAATCCCAACAAAGGAAGCATCCCGGTGACTTCAACAGCCCCGGAAAGGGCTGAGACAGACGGCCGGACAGACGAGGCAGTGTGTACATCGCAAGACTGTGGAGTTTCTCCTTCCCAGCTGCCACTTTTGACTCCATCAGTCGCCTCCGCCCGTGTGGACGACGTAGCCCTAAAAATAAAACCTCCCCTGGCTCGCGTTCATTTTCCTGCCCAGCCCCGGGGCCCTGCACAGAAAGCCCGGCTAGGGCTGCCAGCCTCGCTCCGGTCGGGTGCCGCCCGGTGACCTGAGCAGCAGCCCGCTCTGCCGCAGTCCACGGCCGCCTGAGGGGCCCTCAGAACAGACTGGACGAGTGGAAGGTGGGCCGGCGAGCAGCGCAGGGAGAGGGATAGACACTCACCCGCCCAGACAACAACCGGCGGGGCGGGGAGGGTGAGCGCCGGGACCTAGTCTCTGCAGAAACACCGCCTGGGGCTTCCGGAACGCTGTGGCTGCTCCGGACGCCGCTACCGCTGCAGCTCCAGGCCGCCGGCCTCCTCCCCCAGCTGTGTTTGGATTCGGTTGACCACGTCACTCTCAACCACGAGACCCGGATCTGCCGGCTCCCGCGGGCGGTGGCGCAACAGATTGCAGCGCCTGGAGACCCCGACTGCCCCGCCCCGCGAGCATGCGCACCGCGTGCGTCTGCCTTGGGATTCCAGACGGGGCGGAACGGGGGCGTGCGCGAGCCCCGATAGGCGCCACGTCACGCCGTGCGTCGGGTGCGGAACGCGGGGGCGACAGTTCCGGTTGGCAGGGGTGGGGCTGGATCTGTGAAGGTAGCAGGGTGAGGTTCAGTGTTTGTTCTATTATCGCGTGTTGGCTCTATGTCGTGTTCAGCGAACGGTACTTTCTCACGTGTTTCTCGTTGCTGAGCCAGTGGTTTTCCTGGGCCTTAGGGTTAGGGTGCTGGATTAACAGCTGGGGATGCCGATGGAGACCTGTAATCCCTGCGGTGTGGGAGGCTGGGACGGGGATCGCAAGTTTGAGCCCTGCCTAGGCGATTCAGCGATTTAACTAGACTGTGTCTCAAAAGATTAGAAAAAGATTTGGGGAACGCGGGCATGGGGACACAGGCCTGTAATCTCAGCACTCGGGAGGCTGAGGCAGGAGAATCACAGAGTTCAAAACCAGCCTGGGCTATATAGTTCAAGCCCAGCCTGAATCATACAGTGAAACCCTTCCTCAAAAAAGACATTTGAGGTTGAGGATTTAGCTCAGCGGCATAAACGCCTGCCTTGCAAGTGTGGGGTCGTGATTCAATCCCTGGTACTGATAAAAAATAAATACATTTTTTAAAAATGATCTTAGAGACCAGGGATATAGTTCAGAGACACAAGCACCTGCCTGTTAAGTGGCAAGTGTGAGGTCATGAGTTCAATGGTACTCCCCCCCCCCAAAAAAAAAAAAGGTGTCGGGGTATAGTTCACTGGGTTCTGTCTCTAGTACCAAAAGTAAAAAAGGCTTCCGGATAGAGGCAACACAAACTGCTGAGACTGAATATAACTAGATGGTGCGGTGTTGATTGATGATTGAGGCCCACATAAAATTTGAACTTACGGGGTCCCTGTACTGTCCCTGACGTTTTGCACTGGAAAACTGACCAAGATTAAACTCAGCATGCAGTTTTAATAAAGTATGTGTGTCAAAGGTGATCTGCTGGCCCGGAGGCAGCGGGGAGAGGATGCTGTTAACCAGCCCAAACCTTGGTTTGAGGGACTTGCAGTAAGGATGTTGTTTTTTGAATTAAGAACTTCATTCTTTGAGACTAAGTTGGTGGTACCTGCTCTCACCCTGAGAGAATTTCTCAGGGAATGACCCAACTTAGCAAAATTTATGGTTAGTCTATATTTTAGGTCTGTGAATTAAACTAATTAAAATGCAACTGGTGCCAGCTATTATTCAGCCCAGAAGTTCCAGACCAGGTTATGTAGTGCAGGAAGGCTGTGTCCTTCCCCCTCCCCACCCTCTGGTGGGACCTGCACTTAAAAGTGTTAGTCTCAGAGGTTTCACGGAGGCCTCTGGGCCTTTCCTGCAGGAGTGAAAGCTGTAAAACTTGATCTTTTCAGCTGTGCTGACTTATACCTTAGCTAGTTGGTTAATTACCCCTCTGCAAGCTGAGTCACCTTCAGCAAATTGCATAATCTGCGAAAGTTTTTAATTAAAGTGGATACTGAATACAGGTGAAAGTTTCTAGAAAAAGATTTCTGGTAAAACTCAAAAGTGTATCTTAGTTAACGGTGATTACAAGTTGGCACAATCAGGCATCTTGGCTCTTACTGTGCTAATGATATAGGGAACGAAACTCCCAACCTACTAGATACCCAGTATGAGTTTGGATAAAGTCAAAGAATGAATTTTAGGAACAACAGAGGTTAAGAGCAGAATATATTTATTGAGAGAAAGAAAGCTGCTGTCTGAAAGAGACCGAAGGGGTCCTGAGTGGGTTGCCCAGACTTTGTCTTTTCTAGGGACTTTTATAGAGTAAAATCATTGAGACAGGTGGGGAGGGGGGTGACTAGGAACTTGAAAGGCAGAGGGGAATGAGGTAGGATAGAACTATGGTCAACCAAAAAGACTGATTGTTCAGGTAAAATTGACCAAATCAGGGTCAAATGAGGAAGCAAGTCAGTAGTAAGTGGGCATTTGTACAGAATAGTAACTCTTCTTGTAGGGGGTTGGGATGGTGACTCCAGGCTTCAGTCAAGGTGACCCATACCTATTTAGAATATCAGTACTTGGGGTGTAATTGTGTTCATTTTGCCTTTTGTCTTGGGGTCTCTCCTGGTCACAAGGTATCTGGTCCCTTGTGTCTGGTCCTCTGAGGGCCTAGCTTATAATATTTCTAGCTAATTATAATATTCCTGCCTATAATATTTCTAACTAAGTCAGCTGCCTGTAACACTATCTTGGACTTGAATTCAGAGTTTGAAGTAGAATTCAGTGCCCCCAGGAAGTTCATAGGCTGATCCTGTCAGAAGCAGAGGGTCTTTAGATTGTAGGTCTTTAAACAGAAACTCTTATATGTTTGGATGTCCCTGTGTGCACATATGTATTTGAAAATACAGCTGTATTTCAACAAAAGTAGAATTGTATTGGTTGCTACAAAATTCCCAGTACAGTGCTTGCTTTGCAAAGTGAATAGCAAGAAAATCAAGTCTTCAGGAGCTAGTCTCCAAGGTGATTCAGTGATCATCTCCACTAGCCATCTAAAGTAGAGTTACTTTGATCACTGGCATACAGTGTGTCTGATGCCCAAGACATGGAGGCATGGATGACAGCTTGCCATGGAGTTGTCCTGGACTGTGTACACTGGGGAAGCCAGACATCTCACACTCCTTGAAAACAGCAGTGTGCAAAGGTGCAAGAGAATGAAATTCTCTACCAAAAGTGCACCAACTTGCCAGCCTTGTGTGCTGCCTTAATTGACCCCGCATCCCTAATTATACATTTGGGCTGCATCTCTGCCCAGCATCACAATCATGTCAAGCTTCTGAAGGACAGCCCTGACCCTATGCACTGCAATGTGGGATGTGGGATCCTGTATGGAATATGGTCCATCTTTAAATTCAACCTTGGGCAGGGGATTTAGCTCAGGGGCATAAGTGCCTACCTGTCAAGCACAAGGTGGTAAGTTTGATGCCTGGTACCCAAAAAGAAAAAAAAACTAAATTCAGTCTTTACAGATGCTAAACCACGTAAGAACTAAAAAGCAGGGGAGTATGTGTGATTCTATCCATAGTTTAAACAGTAACAGAGCTGAGTGTGGTGCCTGTAATTGCAGCCTGTGGGAGGCTGAGGCAGGGGGGGATCACGGAGTTCCAGGCCAGCCTCAGCTGCATAGTAAATTCAAGGCCTGTCTGAACTACATTGTGAGACCCTGTCTCAAAACAAAAATCCTGAATTTCTGTACCAGAAACATAATAAAGACTGAATAAATATCTGATGAATGGATACAGAATTAAAAGTGAGCCACCAACTGGAAAACATTTGGAATAAATTATTTTATTTTTCAGTATCAGGGATTGAACTCATGACCTCATGCTTGGCAGGCAGGTGTTTATGTCACTGAATCCCAGGCAGGAACAAATACTATTGGTTAAAGGAGTAACACTACCATATGTGGATCATAACAAATGGGTATAAAATATAAACAGTTCATACAAAAATGAGTGCTATTTGAAAATTCTTTGATTTCTGGAATCAAAAAAGCCAAGCATGGTAGCATATTCCTGTACTTTCAGCATTTGGGAGGCTGAGGCAGGAGAATCCCTGTGAGTTTGAGGCCAACATGAACTGCATAGCAAGACCCTGTCTCAAAAAAACAAAAATAAGGGGCTGGGGATTTAGCTCAGTGGCATAAGCACTTGCCTTGCAATCAGGCGGTTGTGAGTTTGATCCCCGGATTAAAAAAAATAATAATAAGGGGCTGGGGATTTAGCTCAGTGGGGTAAGCACTTGTCTGGCGAGATCATGAGTTCGATCCCCAGTACTAAAAAAAAAAAAAACACACCAAAAATAAATAAAAATACAGATTGAGCCAGGCATAGTTGCACATGTCTGTAGTCTTAGCATTCAAGAGTCTCAGGAAGGAAGGTTGCTGTGAGTTCCAGACCAGCCTGAGCTATATATAGTTGATACTGTCTCAAAAACAAAAACTTGTAGCAAGATTTTTTTTTGCTACATTAGAAGAATATTGTTATTTTATTTTTTTGTTACCCGGGATCAACCTCACCCTTGCCAGGCAGGTGCTTGTGCTACTCAGCTAAATCCCCAGCCCCTATTTTTAGATAAGTACTTTTTTTTTTTTTTTGTCTTTTTCATTTTTATTGGTACCAGGGATCGAACTCGTGACCGCACACTTGCAAGGCAGGTGCTTAAGCCACTGAGCTAAATCCCCAGGCCCCCCCCCCAGCCCCTATTTTTAAATAGGAGCATAGCATATTATATCAGTACCATTAGTATTACTGACTGCTAAAAAATTTAGAAACTTTATAGGGTCGGGCCCTCAAGAGGACAGTGCAGAAGACGGCTGTGGCTGGAGCGCTTACCTAAAGGTCAGGCATCAGGACAAGGAGAAGTGACTACATCCACATACTTTTTTTGGGAAGACCAGCAGAGGTTGATGTTCTAAATCGGCATCAGTGGCCTGGCACAGGACCAAAACTCCTTGACCCACCCCTTCCAGGAAAGCCTTTGTTCATCCTGTGCACTTGCTGCTTGACTTGCTTCCCTGTTTGATCCCCATTTAGTCCAATATTACCTAAGCATCTGTTCTCACACTCTTATTGGTTGACCATAATTTTGTCCCACCTCA